GCCGACGCCGTATCCACTGAGCCACACTGGTTTCGACTCATGGGCTTTTAAAAAGATATTTTTATTGATTTCAGAAAGGAAGGGAGAGAGAGAGACATCACTGGTGTCCAGCCAGTGGTTGAGCATCGACCCATGAGCCAAGAGGTCACCAGTTCGATTCCCGGTCAGGGCACAGACCTGGGTTGCCGGCTTGATCCCCAGTGGGGAGCGTGCAGGAGGCAGCCGATCCATGATTCTTTCTCATCATTGATGCTTCTATCTCTCTCCCTCTCCCTTCCTCTCTGAAATCTATCTATCTATCTATCTATCTATCAATATATTTTAAAATATATATTTTTATTGATTTTGTACAGAGAGGAAGGGAGAGAGATAGAGAGCTAGAAATATCTATGAGAGAGAGAGTCATCGATCAGCTGCCTCTTGCACACCCCCTACTGGGGATGTGCCCGCAACCAAGGTACATGCCCTTGATCGGAATCGAACCCGGGACCCTTCAGTTCCCAAGCCGACGCTCTATCCATTGAGCCAAACCTGTCCCGGCTCTATCTTTCTTTTAAAAAATATATATTTTATTGATTTTTCACAGAGAGGAAGGGAGAGGGACAGAGAGTTAGAAACATAGACCAGCTGCCTCCTGAATGCCCCCCGCTGGGGATGGAGCCCCCAACCTGGGCCTGGGCCCTGACCGGGAATCCAGCCCTGACCTCCGGGTTCCCAGGTCCATGCTCCGCCACGGAGCCACGGAGCCACGGGGGCCCGGCCAAGGCCTCCTTCTAACGGATGCTGTCCCTCCTCCGGAGCCTCCCTGGCCCCGCCTGGAGCCCACGCTGAGCTGGCCCCTGCCTCCCCGCCCGTCTCCCGCCTCCCCATCTCCCCGCCACCCGGGGGGCCTCAGCGGGCACCCGGCGCCGCCCGCCCTGGGGAAAGCGGGCGCAGCAGGAGGCGGGTGGGCGGCGGGGAGGGCGAGCCTGACGGCCTCTGAACCCGCCCACTGAGGGCAGCGACGGCCGCTCCTGACTCCGTGTCCCTCCGCGCTAATCCCACGACCCTATTCTTAGCTCCGTGTCACCGCGGGAACGGGACACCGAGAGATCCAGTCTCACCTGCCCCCGTGCGGGGCGCCGGCAGGGGGGACCTAACCCCCCGGGGTGGCCCCCGCCTCGCCCCCCGATGTGTGCAGGTGCACGCAGGTGTGTGCAGCTGTATGCAATTGTGTGCGGGTGAGTGCATAAGTCTGCAGGCGTTTGCAGGCACGTGCAGGTGTGTGCATATATGCACGGGCATGTGCAGGTGTGTGTGAGTGTGTTTATGTGTGTGTATGCATGTGCAGGCATGTGCATGCACGTGCAGGTGAGTGCATATGTGCATGGGCATGTGCAGGCGCGCGTGGGTGTGTTTATGTGTGTACAGGCATGTGAATGTGTGTGCTGGCATGTTTGTGTGTGCACGCATGTGCAGGCATGTGACGCCATGTGCAGGTGTGTGTGCAGGCCAGGAGCCAACCCACACGTCCAGGTTGCTGGGGCTCTGGTTTCCGTTCCCACTCAGCACCCCATTCCTGGGCCTGAGCCCCAGGGGAGCGGGAAGGGGCTGGGACCAGAGCTCCCTGCTCTAACGGGGGACAAAGTGGGGCCCGGAGGCCGCCCTGGGAAGTCCTGAAGGGACAGAGGCGGCAGGGAAGAGGCCAGTCATGGGGGGGGTCACATGACAGGGGACATTAGCGCACTAACCAGTGTGGCTCAGTGGGTAGAGCATTGGCCCGGAGGCTGAAGGATCCCAGGTTCCATATTGGTGGCCACGCTGGCCTGGTGTCCATGCCACGTGCCCACCTCAGCGCCGCCCAGCGGGTTCCAGGGCCCTGGTGCCCCCCCATGCCCCCGTCCCCCCGCCCCCAGGCCTGGCGCCTCCACGGCAGCAGCTGGGACCGCACCCCGTGAGCTCACGGCTCCTGTGAGTCAGGAGCCCAGGCGGGAGGACGGGGTCCCCCCGGGATAAACTGTGAGGCTCCGGTTCTCACTCGCGGCTGCCGCCCGGATCCGGTATCGGCTCCGCTTTCAGAGGCGCCTGCCTTTCTCGCCCTGTGGTGCCCCCCAAGTCTCCTCCCCAGCCCCTGTGACCCCCCCATTCCTCTCCCCAGCCCTGGTGCCCCCCGAGTCCTCAGCCCCCCATTCCCCTCTCCAGCCCCGGTGTCCCCCAAGTCCTCAGCCCCCCATTCCCCCCCCCAGCCCTGGTGCCCCCCGAGTCCCTCCCCAGCCCCGGTGTCCCCCCCATTCCCCTCCCCAGCCCCGGTGCCCCCCCATTCCCCTCCCCAGCCCCGGTGTCCCCCAGCCCCCTCCCCAGCCCCGGTGTCCCCCGAGTCCTCAGCCCCCCATTTCCCTCCCCAGCCCCAGTGTCCCCCAGCCCCCTCCCCAGCCCCGGTGTCCCCCCGAGTCCTCAGCCCCCCATTCCCCTCCCCAGCCCCGGTGTCCCCCGAGTCCTCAGCCCCCCATCCCCCTCCCCAGCCCTGGTGCCTCCTGAGCCCCCCTCCCCAGCTCCGGTGCCCCCCGAACCCCTCTTTCCAGCCCCGACTCCCAACTTCCCTCTTTCTGGCTCTACCTCGGGCCCCATCCACCCGCCCCCCATCCCTGCTCCAGTCCAGAGGGCTGGTAAGGAGCGGGCACAGGGCGGCCGGGGCTGGAGGTGGGCAGGGAGGACAGCTGAGCCCGGGGGGCTGGCTGAGGGCACAGGATTCCTGGAGCTCGGAGTGCCAGGCGCGGGGCTGGGCGTGGCCAGATAAGGAGGCCCCGGGAATTGGCCTCCGAGGCTGAATCCCAGCCTCCCTCCCAGGAGGCCGGGGGGAAGGGGGCTGGCGCCATGGGCTTAGCAGGGGATGTTCGTCCGTGGGCAGGCGGCCGCCCCGGGGGCCTCAGAGTCCCCGCAAGTGGAGGCTGGACACCCGGCTGGCGTGGCTCAGGGGTTGAGCGTGCACCTAGGAGCCAGGAGGTCACGGTTCGCTGCCTGGTCAAGGGCACAGGCCTGGGTTACGAGGTCCGTCGCCAGGGGGGGGGGCGTACAGGAGGCAGCCGATGCGTGATTCGCTCTCACCATAGATGTTTCTCTCTCTCTCCCTCTCCATTCCTCTCTGAAATCAATGAAAAGTATTTTTAAAATGTGTTTTGTGCCCTAGCTGGCTTGGCTCAGTGGCTAGAGCATCGGCCTGCAGACTGAAGGGTCCCAGGTTCGATTCCGGTCAACCGCATGTACCTTGGTTGCGGGCACATCCCCAGTAGGGGGTGTGCAAGAGGCAGCTGATTGATGACTCTCTCTCATCGATGTTTCTAACTCTCTATCCCTCTCCCTTCCTCTCTGTACAAAATCAATAAAATATATTTAAAAATAAAATAAAATCACGTGGGATAGATTAAAAATAAATTTAAAAAAATCAAAATCAATCAAAGCATTAAATAAAATTAAAATAAAATAAAACAGCCCAAATAGAAGCACTTGGAGAATGTGTAGAAAATGACTGTCTCCACCCCAGTCCCCTTCTTTCTCTGACATACAGAGCCCGCCCCCTCACGGCCCTAACCGGCCCGCCCCCCCCCCCCCCACATTCAGGTCAGAAGCTGACCCCAGCAAGCTCCCCCACCCACCCCCACTTGTCCGCCCCAGCCCTGCGGGGTCCTGGGAGCCTTGGCGGTGCCCGAGGCCGGACTGCTCATCGGTGGCCATCGCAGGCAGCTTGTCCTGGAATGACGGAACGTTCTGGATCCCGGCTGTCTGTCCGCGTGGCCCCGGCCACAGGGAACTCCTGGCGCTTGCAGTAATGTGGCTGGGACCTTTCGTCTTACTCTGTTTTACCTTAAATGTGTCACCCCGCACTGGAATAGGACAGCCGCCTGCGGCTCCTGGCTACCCCGTCCTGGACCGCGGTCCGGGCTCCGGCTCCACGCTGGCCGGTAGCTCAGGTGGTCAGAGCATCATCTTTTTAAAAATATACTTTATTGATTTTTTTCACAGAGAGGAATAGAGAGGTAGAAACATCGATCAGCTGCCTCCTGCACGCCCCCTGTGGGGATCAAGCCCTCAACCCGAGCATGTGTCCTTGACCAGAATGGAACCCGGGACCCTTCAGTCCACAGGCCGACGCTCTATCCACTGAGCAAACCAGTTTTGGCCATCATCTTTTTTTTTTTAAAAAAAAAATATATATATTTATTGGTTTCAGAGATGAAGGGAGAGGAAGAGGGAGGGATAGAAACATCATTGATGAGAGAGAGCCATTGATCAGCTGCCTCCTGCACGCCCCCTACTGGGGATCGAGCCTGCATTCCAGGCATGTGCCCTTGACCGGAATCAAACCCGGGACCCTTCAGTCTGCAGGCTGAAGCTCTGTCCACTGAGCCACACCCGCTAGGGCTAGAGCACATCTTGATATACAAGGTTGCAGGTTCGATTCCCCAATCAGGGCACAGACAAGAGTCAATCAACTAATGCATGAATGAATGCATCAGTACATGGAATAATGGGACATCTCTCTCTCTCAATCAATCAATAAAAGTTTTTAAAAATTAGAATTCCAGCCTGGCCAGTGTGTCGGTTGGCTGAAAGGGTGCCAGTTCACTTTCTGGTCAGGGCGCACGCCCAGGCCTCCAGCTCGATCCCCAGGCAGGATGCACGTGGGAGGCAGCCAATGGACGCTTCTCTCTCTCCTTTTCTCTCAATCAATAAGAACATATTTTTAAAGTATTTTTTAAAAACAATTCCAGCTCCTCGGAGAGGGTGGCGGCTTCCTCTGGGATCCTCAGAGCCCAGCACAGGGCCGGGTTTGCTGCCTGGGAGCGATGGCAACCGCCTTCTCCCACTCCTGCGTCTCCGGCGTCTCCTTCCGCCAAACGCTGCACCCTTCCCCGCGGGGAACCTACGTCCACAGACCGCGGGGCCGGATCCTGGCTTCCCCCAACCCCCTCCCTCACCATGCCCCTCTCTCCCCCACCCCGCCCCACAGACAGCCTCACTCCTTCACGAACTCACATTTATTCACAGACAGAGGGACAGGGTGGACCTTAGCTCACTGGGGACCCCCGAGGCCTGGCTGTGTCCAGTGTGTACAAACGGGGCGGCGGGTGGGTGAGGGGGTCCCCCAGTCTCCATCCTTCTGGCCCAGGTCCTGCCCCTCCTTTTCCAAGGGGCTCCGCCTCCCACGTGAGCTGAGGGGGCGAGCAGTTCCCGAGGGGCCTAGGGGCGGCGGGGGAGGGCGAGGGAGGGGCGCGCGGCCCCTCCTTAGTGTCAGGGCTGGAAGGGGCGGCGGGCACGTGGAGGAGGGACCCCCTTCCTTCCACTTCTCTCCTCCCTATTGCAAACCGGGGGGCGGGGGAGGGGAAAGGGGGAGGCAGCCGGAGGGGCGAGGGTCAGGAGGCCAGGCCGCCCAAGCCCCCGCGCAGGAGCGCCTTGCTGTCCGTCTCGTCCTCCTCCATCTCCTCGAAGGCCGAGTGGTCCTGGCTATCGAAGCAGGAGGCGCTGAGGAAGACGGGGGGCGCCGGCGGGGACCGGGGCGGGCTCCCCGGGGAGGGCGGCTCCTCCTTGATGCAGGCGAGGGGCAGGGGCAGCCCCTCCCCGCCGCCGGGCCCCGAGGGCGCGGGCGGGGACGGCGGGGCCTGCGCCTGCAGCGCCTGCAGCGCGGCCGCACGCTCGAGCTCTGCGCGGTGGCAGCGCTGGTGGCGCAGGAGGCTGTAGGCGCGCGAGAAGCGGCGCGGGCAGTGCGGGCAGGGGTGCGGGGCCGGGCCGCCCGCGTGCACCTGCGCGTGGCGCGCCAGGTCGGCCAGGCGCTTGAACTCGCGCTGGCAGCGCACGCACTGGAAGGGGCGCGCCCCGGAGTGGGTGACCCCGTGCTGCCGCAGGTGCGCGCGGCGCCGGAAGCCCTTGCCGCACTCGGGGCACCAGAAGCGGGGCTCCCCGGCGGCGGCGGCGGGAGGCCGGGTCCCCGGGGCCGCGTCGCCCCCGTTCTGCCCGCCGCCGCCTTCTCCCGCCCCCTCGGGGCCGGCCTGGGCCTCGCCGCCGCCGTCGGGCCCCTTCCCCGAGGTCCGTGCGCCCGCCGCCCGGTCGTCCCTGCGCGGGGGCAGCGGGGCGAGCAGGCTGAGCGCGCCGTGCACGCGGCGGTGCTGGCGGAGGTAGGAGGCCAGGCGGAAGGCCAGGCCGCAGTCCGGGCACACGAAGGGGCGGTCGGTGGAGTGCACCAGGCGGTGGCGGGACAGCGACCAGGGCCTGGCGAAGGCCTTGAGGCAGACAGGGCACTGGTGGCGCTTGGGGCGCGGCGGCGGCCCCCCCGCGCCCTCGCCCTCCTGCTCGCCCTCGGGGCGCAGGCACGGGTGCGCCTTCAGCTCGCCCTTCGTGGCGAAGGCCTCGCGGCAGCGCAGGCACAGCAGCGTCCAGTCCGCCTGCAGCAGCACCTGCTTCTCCTCCTGCCGCCCGGCCGCCCGCGCCAGCTCGGCCCGCAGCTCGGCCGCCGCCCCGGCCTCCGCGGCCTCCGCCTCCGCCGCCCCAGACGCACGGGCATCGGCGCGCGCGGGGGGTGCGGGGGGCGCATCCGGCTCCCCTGCGGCCCACGTGTCCGGCCACGCGGCCTCCTCCTGCTCCTCCTCTTCCTCCTCCTGCTGCTCCTGCTCCTGCTCCTCCGGGGCGCCCCCGGGGCCGGCGGGGCCGGGCGGCTCAGTGGCGGCCGCGTCGCCGTCGCCGTCGGCGGGGTCCTGCGGGTCCAGCCCCGCCTCGCCGCCGGCGTGCTCCTGGGCCAGGTGGCGCCGCAGCTGCGCGGGCTCTGGGAAGGTGCGGGGGCAGGCGGCGCAGCGCAGCGGCGGCTGCGGGCCGTGGCCGCGCAGGTGGCGGGCGAGGTGCGCGGGCCGGCGGAAGGCCTTGGGGCACAGCGGGCAGGCGTGCGGCCGCAGCCCCGAGTGGCTCAGCCAGTGGCGGGAGAGGTAGTAGGGGAAGCGGAAGAGGCGGCCGCACGTGGGGCAGGGCAGGGGCGCGCGGGGGGCGCCGGCGGCCCCCCGGGCCCCCCGGCCTCGGCCACGGCCACGGCCACGGCCACCGCGGCCCCGGCCCCGGCCCCCCCGGCCGCGGTGAGGCGGGCTGCCCTGGGCGGGTGGCGGGGGCTGCGGATCCATGCCTGCAGGAGAGAGGAGAGATGGGAGATGAGGAGGGGACAGAGGGGGGAAGGCGTGAGGAAGAAGTAGGGGCGGTGATGGAAGTGAAGGGGGCAAGTATTCAGCAAGAGAGAGGAGAGAGCAACAGAGACGTGAGGCAGAGACAGAGACAGAGAAGTGGAGATGGAGAGACAGAGCAGGGGGCATAGGGGGACAGGATGGGGGCCCCCGGAGATCAGGACACCCCACAGGGACAGAGATGAAGAGAAAAAAAGAGGTTTAGACAGAGAGGGTGCAAACAGGCCAGAACCATGGGGGGGGCGGGGGGGGAGACAGACATACAGACAGACAGACAGACAGACAGAAGGTGCAAACAGGCCAGAACCATGGGGGTGGGGGGCGCGGAGAAGAGAGACAGACAGACGGACACAGAATTGGAGACAGAAGGATACAAAGTCAGCGGCTGCTGATCCCCCGGGGCCCGCCGTGGGAGGGGCTGCAGGGGCTGGGGTGGGAGGCCCCGGAAGAGGGTGTGCGCGCCCAGGTGCTGAGCGAGGAGGGGCGCTGGGAGGAGGACGCTGGGTCTGAGCCCGGAGGGAGGGCGCTGGGGGCCCGACTCCGGGGGCTGGGGGGTGGGGCTGGGGCTGGGGCCCGGGTTCCCGGGGCTCTGGAGGCGCCTGGAATGCAGCATCCAGACCCCCCCACCCCCACTCCCACCCTCACCCCACCCCCTCCCCGGGGCGTGCAGGGCTGGGGTCCTGGGCCCCAGGGGCTGGGCGCGGAGGAGGGGGCTGGGCTCCAACAACGAGGGAGAGGCCGGGGCCGGGGCCCAGCTGCCCGGGAGGAGGGAGCAGAGGGCCAGGCCCCTGCACCCTGAGGGGGGCTGCCGGGGGTCCCTAACTCCCCCACCCCCCGGGGAGGGGGCCCCGCGGGCACGATCTGCAGAATCGGGCCGGGAGGGAGGCGGCCGTGCGGGTCCCTGCACCGGGGGGCCCGCCCCCGCCCGATCGCGGGGCGCCCCGCGCTTACCTCCCTCGGCCTCCTGGGCGCCTTTCTTCCTTCCCCGCGGCCGGCCGAGTGGACGGCGGTGGCGGGGAGGGAGGGCCCGGGCGCAGCGTGCAGGGGGGCGGGTGGAGGAGGCTGGGCTCGGTGTCACCGCCTAAGCCTTCCCCCCGGAAACCCGCCCCTCCTCGCCCAGCCTGGGAGAGGAAAGACTGGCTGGGAGCCGGAAGCGGGAGGAGGAGGAGGGGAGGTGGGGGGCGAGGAGGTGGGGAGGAGGGGGGCTAGGGGGCCTGGCCTCTGGCCTCCCAGAGGGAGGAGCCCTCTGAGGGCCTGGGAGCCTGGGAGGCTGGGACCCGCTCCTCTCTCCCCTCAAAACACATGGTCATTCATTCCTTCCACAAACACACATTTATCAGGTCCGGTCTCTGCCAGGCTCTGTGCTGGGGGCCGGGCTGGGGTGGGGATGGGGGAATGAATGAAGGACTGACAGAGGCTTGGACGTGCAGGACTCCAGCCTTCCCCAGCACGGACTTATCTTCCCCCAGCCTCAGTTTCCCCCTGGTGAGAAGCCGGGCAGATCCACTCAGTCCTGAGCAATCCGTGTTAGCTGAGCACCTACTTTATAATATATAGGTCACAGGCCGGCTGTGCATGTATGTTGCTGCCTGTATCCCCGTGACCCGAAGCCACCAGGTGTGTCCTGAGCACCTACTGTGGGCTGGATCTGTCCTTGGTGCTGGAGCGGCAGAGGCCGGGGCCCTGTCTGCAGGGAGCTCACCCTCTGGCTGAGGAGGAGGCGGACACAGAGCCAGTCTCCCTCCCCGAGAGGGATCCCTGAGGGCTTCCTGGAGGCGGCAGCCGCCTTTCGGCTGAAACCTGCGGGGTAAAGCGCCCAGGGTTAGGAACAGGGAGGAGGAGCTGGTGGGGACACCCCAGCAGGGCCATGTGTAGGGTCCCTAAGGTTGAGCAGAAAGGCCACCTTAGCCCAAGCCCGTTTGGCTCAGTGGATAGAGCGTTGGCCTGTGGACTCAAGGGTCCCAGGTTCGATTCCGGTCAAGGGCATGTACCTTGGTTGTGGGCACATCCCCAGCAGGGAGTGTGCAGGAGGCAGCTGGTCGATGTTTCTCTCTCATCGATGTTTCTGACTCTCTGTCCCTCTCTCTTCCTCTCTGTAAAAAAAAAAAAAAAAAATCTATAAAATATGTTTTTAAAAAAGCAATGGAAGCCAAAACCGGTTTGGCTCAGTGGATAGAATGTCGGCTTGTGGACTCAAGGGTCCCAGGTTTGATTTCGGTCAAGGGCTTGTACCTTGGTTGCAGGCACATGCCCAGTAGGGGGTGTACAAGAGGCAGCTGATCGATGATTCTCTCTCATCGATGTTTCTAACTCTATTCCCTCTCTCTTCCTCTCTGTAAAAAAATCAATTATATATATATATATAATGGAAGACATAGCCTCAGGGGAAGAGTAAGACACACACACACACACACACACACACACACACACACACACACGGAAACAATATGCATCAAAGCCGGGGGAGGGGCTACCCTAGAGAAGGGAGAAGCTGGCTGTGAGGGCGCTCTGGCTGCGACATCTGCCACCCCATTGATCGCCAGGGTTGATTCGGCTGATCTGGCTGGCTAGGCGGGTGACCCCTCCTCCCTCACCGATCCATGTGCGTCCCTCCCGAAGCTGCGCGCTCGGTCGAAGAGGACGACCTTCCCACGAGAGGAGAGGGCTGGTCTTCGGTCAAGGGTATCCGAGTAGCTGTGCTCCCCTGCGAGAACCTCCACACATGCTCTCATCATCGATGTTTCCCTCTCTCTCTCCTCTTCCTTCCTCTCTGAAATCAATAAAAATATTTTTTAAAAACATATTTTAAAAATAAATAAATGCCCTAACCGATTTGGCTCAGTGGATAGAGTGTCGACCTGCAGACTGAAGAGTCCCGGGTTCGGGCAGGCACCTTGGTTGCGAGCACATCGCCAGTGGAAGGTGTACAGGAGGCAGCTGATGGATGTTTCTCTCTCATCATTGTTTCTAAGTCTCTTTCCCTTCCTCTCTGTAAAAAATCCATAAAATATATTTTTTAAAATAAATAAATAATATATATATATTTAAAATGTAAAAGAAAGAACCTCTTGTTCTGGGGGGCTCAATGCTTAAAGGCTGTTCTCCAGCCCCCCCCCCCTTCATTCATTTCCCATCTAGCCCAGTGGTCGGCAAACTCATTCGTCCACAGAGCCAAATATCAACAGTACAATGACTGAAATTTCTTTGGAGAGCCACATTGTTTAAACTTAAACTTCTAACACCACTTCTTCAACACAGACTCGCCCAGGCCGTGGTATTTTGTGGAAGAGCCACCCTCCAGGAGCCAAAGAGCCGCATGTGGCTCGAGAGCCGCAGTTTGCCGACCCCGGTCTAGGGGCTCAAACCTACAGAGCTAGCAGCATGCCAGGGGCGGAGAGGGCAGGGCGGGTTTGGACTGCACGCCAGCGGTGTGCGGGGGAGGAGAGGTCACGCCGGGGGCAAGGTTCTTGTTGTGCCCGTTGCCAGGCACCCGGGGCTTCCTGCCTCGGTGACCTTCAGTACCTGGCTCTGCTCCTGTCTGTGCGGCGGCCTCCCCCAGGCCCACTCGCTAGTTACAAAACCCATCATCGCCCCTGCGCTGTCACTCCCCTCCCTCCCCCGCGCCCTGGCATCCAGGAGCCAGCCCCCCGCTCAGTGGGCTTGCCCACTGGGCATTTCACACCAGTGGATGGAACATACGGAGTCTTTACCGCCAGCCTTTCACTCGGCACCGCATTGCCAAGACCCATCCACGGTGTGGCCTGTGTGAATGACTCATCCCTCTTTTTTATTTTTATTGATTTTAGAGAGGAAGGGAGAGGGCGGGAGAGAGAGATAGAAACATCAAGGATAAGAGAGAATCATTGATTAGCTGCCTCCTGCATGAGCTACACTGGGAATCAAGCCCACAACACAGGCATGTGCCCTTAGCCAGAATCGAAGCTGGGACCCCTTCAATCCACAGGCCGACTCTCTATCCACTGAGCCAAACTGGCTAAGGCTCATCCCTCCTTTTCCCCCCCTGAATATTATTCCAATACTACTCCAATATTATTCCATTACTGTTATTACAACTCTATTTCATTACTATTATTCCATTACTATTCCAATACTATTCCATTACTATTATTCCAATACTATTATTCCATTACTATTATTCCATTACTATTCCATTACTATTATTCCAATACTATTATTCCATTACTATTATTCTATTACTATTCCATTACTATTCCATTACTATTATTCCAATACTATTATTCCATTACTATTATTCCATTACTATTCCATTACTATTATTCCAATATTATTCCAATACTACTCCAATATTATTCCATTACTGTTATTACAACTCTATTTCATTACTATTATTCCATTACTATTCCATTACTATTATTCCAATACTATTATTCCATTACTATTATTCCATTACTATTATTCCATTACTATTCCATTACTATTATTCCAATACTATTTCAATACTACTCCAATACTATTCCATTGGAGCATGCTACATGCTGTCTGTTCATTAGTTGGGTGGGCATTGGGCTGTTTCTACCTTTAGGCCATTGTGAATAGTGCTGTTGTGGTTTCCGCCCTTATGTTTTTGTTTGAAGGGCAGTTTTATTTTTTTAAATATATTTTATTGATTTTGTACAGAGAGGAAGGGAGAGGGAGAGAGAGTTAGAAACATTGATGAGAGAAAAACATCCATCAGCTGCCTCCTGCACCCCCCCCCCCCGGGGATGTGCCCACAACCAAGGTACATGGCCTTGACCATAATCGAACCTGGGACCCTTCAGTCCGCAGGCCGACGCTCTATCCACTGAGCCAAACCAGCTAGGCTTGGTGTGTTCTGTTTTGTTTTTAGGAAGAGTGGAAGAGAGAGGAAAAGTCAGCGAGAAACGTGGATGTGAGAGAAACATCCATTGGCTGCCTCCTGCACCAGCCCTGACCGGGGCGGGGGCGGGGGAGGAGCCTGCAACCAAGGTCCATGCCCTTGACCAGAGTTGAGCTCGGGGCCCTTTAGTCCGCAGGCCGACGCTCTATCCACTGAGCCCCACTGGCTAGGCCTGTCCTCTCATTGTTAAAGGCTTACTGATGGTGGGGAACGAATTCAGGAGTGGAGGTGGCGGGGGAAAGGGAATGTCAAGCATGGTGTGTGTGTATGTATGTTTATGTATGTGTGTTTGTATACATGTGTTTATATGTGTATACTTGTGTATGTGTGTGTGTACACGTGTGTTTGAGTGTATGTGTGTGAATGTGTGTGTGTGTTTATGTGTGTTTGTGAGTGTGTGTGTATTTGTGCATGCGTGTGTTTGAGTGTGTATGTGTGTTTGTGTGTGTGTGGTGTGTGTGTGTGTGTGTGGTGTATGTGTGTGTGTGTGTGGTGTGTGGTGTGTGTGTGGTTTTGTGTGTGTGTGGTGGTGTATGTGTGTGTGTGTGGTGTGTGTGTGGTGTGTGTGTGTGTGGTGTGTGTGGTGTGTGTGTGGTGTATGTGTGTGTGTGTGTGTGTGTGTGTGTGGTGTATGTGTGTGTGTGTGTGTGTGTGTGTGGTGTGTGGTGTGTGTGTGGTTTTGTGTGTGTGTGTGTGTGTGTGTGTGGTGTATGTGTGTGTGTGTGTGTGTGGTGTGGTGTGTGTGTGGTTTTGTGTGTGTGTGTGTGTGTGTGTGTGTGTATGTGGTGTATGTGTGTGTGTGTGTGTTTGAGTGTGTGTGTGCTGGGGGAACCCGAGGCCTTGGGTTGGGGTGGCACAGAGGCCAGGACTGCGGCTGTGCCCGGCCCCCTGGTCCAGGCTGGCTGCTGGCGCATTCTGAGCCCTGGGGAGCCATTGAAAGGGTTTAAAGCTGGGCGTCACATGAGCCGGTTAATGCTCGGGAGAAATTCCTGTGGGACCCACGGGGAGGCCCGGCCGGAAGCTGGGGAGGCCGGAAGCTGGGGAGGCCCAGGGGGAGCAGGGGGGAGGCAGGGCGCGGGTCCAGGTGAGCAAGGGGCCCGGGCGGGGCCGGCCTGCGCTGGGAACCAGGCTCCGGGCAGGGCGGGCGCTGATTGGCTCAGACGGGCGCCAGTCCCACTGGAACTGCCTCCTCATTGGCTCTCTCGTTTCCCGTGAATTCAGAGGCGCCCAGAGGTCACACCTCATCACTCCTGCCTGGACACCCTGGTGGGGGCATTCGCTGTCCTGTCCTCTCCTCCTCAGGCAGCTGATTGATGTTTCTCTCCCATCGATATTTCTAATTCTCCCTCTCCCTTCCTCTCTGTAAAATAAATAAATAAAAATCAAAATATATTTAAAAAGAAAAAAATGAAATCAATCAAAATGTATTTTTATTTTAAAAAATACTCTGCCTTTGTTTTCAGTCTTGCACTTTTGGCCAACCCACTCACTGCAGAGCTGCCCTCCCATTGGACCATGAGCTCCTGGGGGCGGGGCTTGCCGGGCCTGCTGCTGGAGGGTCCGGCCTTTGAGGGAAGGATGCAGGTGGAGGTGTGGTGGATGGATTCCTCCGCCTCCCCAGGTCCCTCTGCCTGACTCCACAGCCCGAGGCCATCTCCATGACAACCCTGGCTCTTTCCCAGGTGCTCGCTCTCCTGGCCGAGGGAACCAGCCTGGAGTGGGCGGGTCTGGTCCTTGGTGCCAAGCCTGTATCTAAGGGGGCTGGTCTCCTTTCTCCAATATATTTAAAATATATTTTATTGATTTTTTACAGAGAGGAAGGGAGAAGGATAGAGAGTAAGAAGCATCGACCAGCTGCCTCCTGCAAAACCCCCACCCCCACCCCCGACTGGGGATGTGCCCGTAACCAAGGTACATGCCCTTGACCGGAATCAAACCTGGGACCTTTGAGTCCACAGGCCGAGGCTCTGAGCCAAACCAGTTAGGGCTGCTTTGGTTTTTCAAAAATATATATCTATTTATTTCAGAGAGGAAGAGGGAAAGAGACAGAAACATCAGGGATGAGAGAAAACATCATTGACCAGCTGCTGCTGGCTGCCTCCTGCACGCCCCCCACTGGGGACCGAGCCCACAACCCAGGCATGTGCTCTGCACGGGAATCGACCGTGACCTCCACTCAACCCCGGAGCCAAGCCAGCCCCAGCCGGGCTCGCTGCCGCGTGTGGATGGATGTCTCAGTCTGTGGGGGCAGCTGTAACAAAATCCTGCCGACCAGGTGGCTTGTAGACAACAGTCCTGGGGGCTGGGAGTCCGGGACCGAGTCTCCACCATGGGCCTGGCCAGGGTGCTTCATTGGGTTGCTGAGGTCGCTGGTTCGATTCCAGGTCAGGGCACGTGCCCTTGTGGTGGGCTCGATCCCCAGTAGGGGGCGTGCAGGAGGCAGCTGATGAATGATTCTCTCTTATCGTTGATGTTTCTATCTCTTTCTCTCCCTCTCCCTTCCTCTCTGAAACCAATAAAAAAACATTTTTTGTTTTTTAAAGTGCAGGAGCCGAAACCGGTTTGGCTCAGTGGATAGAGCGTCGGCCTGTGGACTGAAAGGTCCCAGGTTCGATTCCAGTCAGGGGCATGAACCTTGGTTGCGGGCACATTCCCAGTGGGGGATGTGCAAGAGGCAGCTGATAGATGTTTCTCTTTCATCGATGTTTCTGACTCTCTTTCTCTTCCTCTCTGTAAAAAACGAATAAAATATATTAAAAAAAATAAAAAATAAAAAAGTGCAGGAGTTGGGACCCTCCCCCCCCCACGTGGGAGTCTATGCTCTGAGATTCTTTCTCTCTCCCCCGCACGAGTCTGTACTTGTTCTTCAATAAATTCCCACCTTTGCTATACAAAAAAAGAAAGAAAGAAAGAAAGAAAGAAAGAAAGAAAGAAAGAAAGAAAAAAGTGCAGGAGTTGCCGAAACCAGTTTGGCTCGGTGGATGGAGAGTCGGCCTGCGGACTGAAGGGTCCCGGGTTCAATTCCGGTCAAGGGCATGTGCCCTGGTTGTGGACACATCCCGGTGGGGGTGTGTGCAGGAGGCAGCTGATCGATGTTTCTAGCTCTCTGTCCCTCTCCTTTCCTGTTTTTTTTTTTTTAAAAATCAATACAATATATATTTTTTAAAAGCACAGGAGCGGTCACCTCACTTAGCATCTTGCTCGCCATTCTCCAGCAGGAAGTCCTATGCCCACCTTTGCTCACCGGCCTCGGAGTGGCCGGACCCCGGCTTACCTCCTCTCCTTTCTCCCGCCTCCCTCCTCTGGGCTCCGGCCCCTCCTGGGCCCACCTGTTCCTCCTGGCCGCTCCCTCCTCATCCTCTGGCCTAAGCTCAGACGCCACCTCTGTAGGGACGCGGGCTCACCCCAGCCACCTCCCGCAGGTCCTTCAGAGTGCTCACCGCTCTCTGGACGTGCCTTCCCCCTTTCCTACTCTTTCCTACACCTGCCCCGTTCTAGACCCCTGGTCAGCAAACTCCTTAGCCAACAGAGCCGAATGCCAACATCACAACGATTGACATGTCTTTGGAGAGCCAACTTTTTAAAAACTTAAACGCCTTCTAATGCCAATTCAACATAGACTCGCCCAGGCCGAGGTGTTTTGTGGAAGAGCCACATTCAAGGGGCCATAAGGAGCCGCCTGTGGCTCTTGAGCCGCGGTTTGCCGACCACGGGCTAGACCATCAAGCCCACGGTTGTTGAGTTCACTGTTGGGTCCCCGGAGGGGTCACAGGGCCTGGCATGCAGTGGGCACCCAGACAGGAGGGTACCACCCTCACACCAGGAGGCTGGCCGAAGGGCCGCCCGTTCAGAGATGGATCCTCACCTGAGGTGGAGAAAGCCTCTGAGATGCTAACGGGGCATAAGGGGACGGGGCCTCACCTCCTGGAAGGGACGCATCCCCAAGGTGACAGTTTGGGCCTCAGGGGGCATGTCCTATGGCAGTGTTTCCCCAACTTCTCTCATGATGAGAATCACCCGGTGGAGTTGTTAAACTACAGATTCCTGAATCCCAACTAAGAAGTGCTAAACTAGAATTTTGGGGAACATATAGGTAAAAGTGTATACTTAACTTAGTGCTCTGTCTTAGCATACAATTTTACCTATAGGTTCCCAAAAATTCTAGGTTAGCACTTCTTAGTTGGGATTCAGGAATCTGTAGTTTAACTCCACCGGGTGATTCTCATCATGAGAGAAGTTTGGGAAACACTGGCCTACGGGATTGATGGCTTCAAAGGGCCTGCCTGGCCCTAGCTGGTTTGGCTCAGTGGATAGAGCATCAGTCTGCTGCAGACTGAAAGGTCCCGAGTTCAATTCCGGTCAAGGGCACACGCCTGGGTTGCAGGCTTGACCCCCCAATCATGCAGGAGGCAGCCAATCAATGATTCTCATCATTTATGTTTCTCTCTCTCTCCCTCTCTGAAATCAATAAAAATATAAAGGGGGGGGGGGGCGTGTCCATCTGTGGAGGAACATCATGTCTGAGGGGTGGCAGGGTTCCTTGTAATTGACAGAACCAAGCACTCCACACCCTTCGCGCTGAGGGGCCTGGTCTAAGTCAGCGGGGTGGAACCCCACGCCCTGGAGCCAAGGCTCAGACAATGAAGCAGCGCGGACAGACAGGAGGACGAGGTTTATTGGGGTCTCAGAGACACAGAGGACTGGGAGGAGGGGGTGAGGTCGAGGCTCATGGGGAGCACCCCCTGGCCAGCCCCCCCTTCCCCTTGGGGTCGGGAGGCACACAGAGACAGACAGACACACCGACAGAGATGGGAAGACCGACAGTGCCAGAACGGAGTGGGAGGAGACCCCGGGGTCCGCCGGCCCCGCTCGGGGGAGCTGGCGGGATGGGAATGACGCAGAAGAGGGGGGCGTGTCTGCGGGGTTCGCTGTGAAGAGGGGGCGCGGGCCACCGCAGGGCCAGCCCGTTCCAGTGGACAGGAGGCCGCACTTCCGGCCCAGTCCATCCTACTGGGCGGGAGGGGGGGTGCCCAACCGGCCTAATCTAGTGTTGGGGGGCTAGGGGAGGCCACGAGGGCTGGCCCATTCCGCAGTCGGATGGGAATGCAACGGGGAAGGCAGGTCCTGGCTGTATTGTCACCTGGGGCACCGGTGATTGTGTGTGTGTGTGGGGGTGCATTTGGAGGGACCCAGGGGGAGATTCCAGGGGCACGGTCCCCCCATCACCCCCACATTCTCCAGACCAAGGTCTTTGGGAATGATGGCTCTCAGGGAAGGGGGCAGGCTTCCCTTGGGGAGAGGGGGTGCCCATCTCTTATCCGGGCCCTCGAGGTGCCAAGTCCGTGTGGAGGCCCAGCTCTCATTCCTAGGTCTCCCCAGCCCGGTTGATTTGGGGGTGCCCAGCTCGGATTCCAGGGAGGTCGGTCCCCAAGCTCAGGGATCCCCATAGACGCTCCCCCTCCCCCCAGCTCGGGGCCTATAAGGGTTTCTGGTGGCTCCATCTCTCTCTCCAGCCAGTGGCCCCCCTTTATCTGGGGTTGGGGGCCCCCTCGCCCCCCGGGGACCCCGAGTCCGGCCCCGCCGGGGCGGTCAGTCCATGCCGCGGTGCAGCTTCAGGTGGCGGGACAGGTTGCTGAGCGTGATGAAGCCCTTGCCGCACACGTGGCAGGGGAAGGGCCGCTCGGCGCCGTGCAGCAGCCGGTGGCGCTTGAGGTAGCACTCGTGGCGGAAGAACTTGCCGCACTCGAGGCACGGGAACGGCTTCTCGCCCGTGTGCACCAGCACGTGGCGCTCCAGGTCGCGGGGCGAGCGGAACAGCTTCTCGCACTCGGAGCACCCGAAGATCTTCTTGCTGTTGCGCGCGGGGCCGGCCGCGGGCTCCCCGGGGGGCGCGGGGTCCCCTTCGGAGACCCCGGCCCCCGCCTCCTCCGCCCCGCCGCCCCCGCCCTCGCCGTGGCTGGCCCGCCGGTGCTCCTCCAGGGCCGCCAGCGCCGCGTACAGCGCCCCGCAGTGGCCGCAGCCGTAGGTGGCCGGGCCCGAGTGCGCGTCCAGGTGGCCGGCCAGCGCGGCGGCCGAGGCGAAGAAGGTCCCGCAGTCGCACTGGTACAGGGTGTCCTCCGAGGGCTCCGCCGGCGCGGGGGCCTCCCCGCCGCCCTCCCCGGGGTGCAGTCCCCCCAGATCGCCGCCCAGGAGCAGCCCGCCGTCCCAGGCCGGCCGCGCGCCGCCGGCCTCCGCGCGCCCCTCGCCGGGGGGCCCCGCAGCCCCCGCCGCCGCGGCCCAGGCCTGCGCGGGGGGCGCGCCCGGGCCCTGCAGGTCGTGCGTGAGCTTGTGCCGCTCCAGCAGCGCCGGCGCGTTGAAGTCGCGCTCGCAGCGCGGGCACTTGAAGGGCTTCACGTCGGTGTGCGCCGCCCAGTGCGCCGCCAGCTCGCGGCCGTGGTCGAAGCGCCGCGCGCACGCCCCGCACGCGAACGGGGGCAGCGAGGCCGCCGCGGCCGCGGCCGCCTCGGCCAGGCCCCAGCCGCCCGCGCCCACGCCGTCCGCGGCCTCCCCGCCGCCCGCGCCCCCGCACACGGAGCAGGGCCCCACGTTGCAGCAGGCGGCGCAGGGCGCGCCCAGGGCGGGCAGGCCGGGCCCCGGGAGGCCGGGCTGCAGCGGGGCCGGGAGCACCCCGCGGTGCTGGCGCTTGAGGTGGCGGCCCAGGCTGGAGCGGGAGGAGAAGCGGAGTTCGCAGACCAGGCAGCAGTAGGGCTTCTCTCCGGTGTGCACGACCTGGAGGGCGGAGAGGGGGCGCGGGGTCAGGGCCGGGGGCTTCCCTGGCCTCTGTCCCTCCAGCCTGTGGGGGGAACGGGGCCGCATACAAACCCTAAACCCCACAAGCCCGCCCGGCAAAGGCCTGCCTGGTGGCCTCACACACTCAGAGGCCCGGATGGAGGCCTTACACACTTAGAGGTGGATGGATGCTCTATCCACTGAGCCAGACTGGCTAGGGCCTGCCTTCTCTCTCTCTCTCTCTTTTAAAATATATTTTATTGATTTTTTTTTTTTTTTCGGAGAGGAAGGTATAGGGATAGAGAGCTAGAAACATCGACGAGAAAAACATCAATCAGCTGCCTCCTGCACCCCCCCTCCCCCCCACTGGGGATGTGCCCGCAACCAGGTGCATGCCCCTGACTGGAATCGAACCTGGGACCTTTCAGTCCGTAGGCCGACGCTCTATCTACTGAGCCACACCGGTTAGGGCTTGCCTTCTCTTTTGATTGTAACAAGATGCGAAACTGACGCTCCCTGGAGCCTTTTCTCAGCCGCTGAGCTTGTGCTTCCGGGAATTGCTGGCAGTTGCCTTAAACTCACAAACCTTCTCTCCAGGTGTGAATGTTTCTCAGATGGACAAGCCTTGGACCTTTGCGGGTGCTGCTCCCTGATGCTGGGGTAAGCTCCCTTCCAGGGCCCCCACCTCTTACTGAGCTCCCACGAGCCTCCCATTCTGGGGGAGAGGCTGCGCACCCACCGGGAAGCTGAGCACTGCCGGGCCCGGGTTCAAATCCCAGCCCCGCCTTCCACGCTGAAATGGTGCACAAGCGACGGCCTCTGAACCAAAATCCCATGAACTACGTCTACCCCCTAAACCTGTGGATTGAGGGCGGGACGGGGGGGAGGGGTGTGTTCCTAGCCTCCGAGGATAACAGGTGGCTCTTTTCCTGTAAATGCCCTAGGCAGTGGTCGGCAAACCGAGGCTCACGAGCCACATGCGCCTCGAGAACCGCGGTTTGCTGCTCTGTTGACTAATGAGTTTGTCGACCGCTGACCTAGACTCTCGATTCCAATAGTTACAGGCTGTTGCTGTTCCTTGTGATTAAGCCCCTAACCCAGTGGTTGGCAAACTCATTAGTCAACAGAGCGGCAAGCCGCAGCTCTTGAGGCGCATGTGGCTCGAGAGCCGCAGTTTGCCGACCACTGCTCTAGGACAAGCATGTCAAACTCACAGTCTGTGGGCCACACACAGCCCACAACCAATATTGTTGCAGCCCAGTCAACGTCAGAAACATTTTAATAAAAATTTCGGCCCTAACAAGTTTGGGTCAGTGGATAGAGCGTTGGCCTATGGACGGAAGGATCCTAGGTTCGATTCTGGCCAAGGGCACATGCCCAGATTGTAGGGGTGCAGGAGGCAGCCGATCAATGGTTCTCTCATCATTGACATTTCTATCTCTCCCTCTCCCTTCCTCTCTGAAGTCAATGGGGAAATATATATATATATATATTTTAAATTTCATAACAATTTTTACAATATCCTGTTATACATCATCCTGTATAATAAAAGGCTAATATGCAAATCGACCCAACAGCAGAACTGGTTGCGATGACATGCCCTGACCACCAGGGGGCAGATGCTCAACACAGGAGCTGCCCCCTGGTGCTCAGTGTGCTCCCACAGGGAGAGCCCTGCTCAGGTGGAAGCTGGGGTCGTGTCTGTTGAGCACAGCCGTGGTGGGACCCTCTTGAACCTCCGCAATAGGGCTCCCGGGAGCAGGCCCAAACCATCAGACGGACATCCCCTGAGGGCTCCCTGATTGTGTGAAAGCATAGGCCAGGCTGAGGGACCCCCTCTCCGAGGGCACAAATTCCGTGCACCAGGCCTGTCGTTATTAATATTGATCTACAAGGTTCACTAATGACTGATGACTATCATCGTGTGGCATTCATGTCCCTTACACGCAGGCAGCAAATATTTTAGCAGCCGATTGCCACAATATAGTCTTGTACCAACATGTCTGGTGTGCACAAGGGAAAATATTTTGCTTTCGGGGAACAAGAAAAATAGGTCTATTTGCGTGGTGCTTATGAATCTGTGCCGTTCGTTATTCAGTGTCTGGTGAGTTCGTGTTCAAGAAAAAAAAATTCACTTTTATTAAAATGTTCTATTACTTTATGTGGACGATGACCCATTTATTTCAGCCCTTCGCACTCAGCGTGTCTCTATCAAAAGAAAGCTATGCTTCTATGAAAATGGAAGCTTGTGTTGTTGTTTTTTGGCCACTTACACCTTGTTGGAGGTGGAGGTGGGGTGGGGAGGATGGCCAGGGGATGGATGAGAAGAGGAAGTTGTAGGATGAATGTTCGCCTCCGATCCAGTGGGGACTGAAAGGAACGCAGGGGCGTTTTGCCTGGCCAGGGCGCTTGGACCAGAGGGAGGGAGAAAAGGAAAGTTTTCTCTGGTGCCCAGCGTGGGGCCGGGGCTCCAAGGCCAGGGGGCGGGGGCGGGAGGGACGCAGCCGGCCAGCCCGCAGGACTCACCTGGTGGTGCAGCAGGCCGGTGGAGTCCCGGAAGCCCTTGGGGCAGGCGGAGCAGCGGTAGGGCCGCTCGCCCGTGTGCGAGCGCAGGTGGTTGGCCAGGTTGAAGCTGTGCTTGAAGCCCTTGCCACAGCGCGGGCACGCGTGGGGCTTGAGCGCCGTGTGGCGCGCGAAGTGGCGCCGCAGGTCCGAGCGGTAGCGGAAGCTCTTGCCGCACTCGCTGCAGTGGAACGGCACGCGGGGGGCCGGGGCCTGGGCCTGGGCCGGGGCGGGGCCGGGGGGCGCGGGCAGCGGGGCGTCATCCATGGTGGTGAGGCCTGAGGACAGTGGTGCGTGGGGACTCTCTGGAGCAGTGGAGACATGGAGGGTGGATGAGCGAGGCACCTCCCCATTAGTCCTCCCCCAGCGGGCTCTGGAGCCTCACAGACCTGTCACTGTCCCCTGGGAGCCACGCCCACACTGTCCACGCCCACTCTTTAAGCCCCACCCACTTCCCCTAGAAACCCTTCTCCCTCTCATCTGCCAATCTTCCTAACCCTTCCAAGTAGCCTCTACTCCACTGAGTGCTTTTAAGTCTCACCCCCTCTTTGCAAAAAACTCCTATTGCCCTCTAAGCCCCGCCCACTGTGGCTAAGCCCCGCCCACCAACGCTCAGGTACCGCCCACTGCCTCATATCCCCGCCCACTGTTCCAGGACCCTCTTCCATTCCTTGACAAGCCCCGCCCACTCCCCTGTGAGCTCCTCCCACTCTTCTTTGAGGAATAGTCCTGGGGCCTGGGGGAGGGGAACAACTGAAACTTTTTTTTGTGAAACTTTTTGCTTGCTATCTCCACGAAGGCTCCCCAAATGGCACTCCTAAACCCCACTTTCTCTAAGACACACCCCGGGAACAAACCCCGCCCCCTTTGCTCTAAGCTCCTCCCACCTCCACATGGCGCCTCATTTCCCACTCAGCCCCCATCAGGACCCTCCAACCAGCCCACTAAACCACGCCCCTTTATAAACCCCGCCTCTTTACCGGAGCCCCTCCCACCCGCAACCCAGCTCCCTCCCCAAGCCCCGCCCACCCGCCTACAAGCCCCGCCCACAGGACACCTCCCGGCCGGTTGCCCCGCCCCCGCCGCCATCAGGCCCCGCCCCTCCGCGCCCCGCCGCCTGCGGGCCGGCCCCCCTCCCCAGTCCCCTCCACGCCCCCGGCCGGCAGACCTGGTCTTTGTGCCCCTCCCCCCGCCCCCAAAAGGTGCGGGGCCCGGGGCGCCCGGGGCGGGGGCGAGTCCGGGGGCGGGAGCACCCCCCGGCCGGGTGAGTGCACCTCGCAGCGGCGGCGCGGGCTCGGGAGCCCTGGGGCGGCCCCGGGAGGCCGGGAGCGTCAGTGGGCTTTCCTCTTTAATTACTTACACCTCCCTCTGGGCGCCGACATTTTGGGCAGCGGGGGCAGCGTCACTTCCACCCGGGGGGCCCCTCGACTTCCGCCTCGGCGCCCTGCTCCCCGCACTCCCCCGCCCGCCGCCCGCCCCTCTCCCTCGCCCGCTCCCGTCCCTCTCCGGCGCCGGCAGGGCGGGAAGCCAGGTAGGCGCCATCTTGGGTGAGGGCAGCGGAGGGGCGGGGTTGGGTGACCCTGCGCCATGCAGACTGAGGGCAGCGCGGGCCGCCGGCGGTGGCGGCGCGCACGGGCCCGGTGTGCAGCCCGGCCCCGCCTGCGCCACGTGTCGGGTGCATCGGGGGGAACGAGGCCCCGGTCCGCCGGGCGCGGTGCGGAGGGAGGGGGAGCCGAGCGCGGGCCCCTCTGGCCCTGCGCCCGCGGGAGGCGCTGAAGCGGGCCAGGCGCCATGTTAGTTGCGGGAAGGAGCAGCCATCTTCCCGCTCCTCATCCTCCGGGTCCCCGCGTCTCACGGGGCCCCGGGCCGGGCCGTGTGCGGGCGGGGAGGGTCTCTACCTGGCTGCCCTGTGTGCGGGGGTGGCCGCCCGCCCGGGGCCCGCGAGGGCGCGGGGAGGGCCTGGCGCGGGCGCGGGCGACCCTTTGTTCCCTCCGGCCGCGGGTCCGACCCGGGGGGAGGGGGCGGGGGCGGGGCCTCCGGGCCGCTGCGTGGGCGGGGCCGCCGCGCGCGCGCGCCGTCCGGGGACGGGCCCCCTCGCCCCCGCCCCTTCCCACGCGTCGGCCTGGTCGCCCCCCGCGCGCGCACTCCCGCGAGCCCCCCGGGCGGCATGCAAATGAGGTACCCGAGGGGGGGGCGGGGGCGGGAGCGCGGGGAGGGGGGAGGGGGCCGCGCGCGCCGGGAGCGCGCCCCCCACACCTGCTCCCGCTCCCGCGCTCGGGGCGGCGTGCGCCCGGCGGAGCCCGCGGGCCGGGCGCGCGCGCGCAGACCCCCGTCCTGGCGGCCTCGCCGGCTGCTCATTGGCCGGCCCCGCGGCTCGCCCGTCCCTCTCGTGTCCCCCACCCTCGCCCGCGCGCTCGGGGGGTGGGGCTGGCGCTGGGCGAGGGTCGGGACACCACCCCACCCCAAAAGGCAGCGGTTGTCCTCCAGTTCCCCTCGCCGGAGCGCACCGCGTGCTTCTGGGGAAGCGGTCGCCCCGCCGTCGCCGTAGGTGCGCCTGTCCCCAGGGGTCACAGTGACACCTGCTCCTAACTGCACCTGTGCTTCCCCCCCTGCCCCCCGCCCTCCACTTCGGGGCACCCCCCAGCTCTGCTGCTGCTGCTGCTATTGTGTCCTTCCTATGTGCCAGCGGACAGCCCTGGTGTATCCATGTCCCAGGACCAGCGGACCCCACGGTGTCCCCTCGGCCCCGAGTCCCTTTCTCCTCACTCCCGGGCTGGGCCATGGTGTCCGAGTCCTTGGCCCGGCCACTTCCTAGCAGAGGGAGCTCGGCAGCTGACGTGGCTCTCCTGCCCGGGTTTCCCCATTTGCCAAGCCAGGGTGCTGGTGACCTTCTCAGAGGGCTCATGCCTCCTGGGGCTCGGTGCTCGGTGCTCCGTGTCCTGAGCAGTCGCTGTGAATCGTCCTCGCGGCGTGCCCCGGGGGGCGGCGGCACTCCGTCCTCCTTTGCAGAAGGCCTGACGGGGACTCAGGAAAGTGTGCGCCTGGCCCAGAGCCACACACAGAGTGACAGACTCAGGAGTCAGACCCAGAACCTCAGCCTCGGAGACTAGACTCCAGTGCGTTTCCTTCCTCACCCGCTGCTCGGGGTCAGCCTTCACCGGGGAGGTCTCCTCCGGTCAAGAGCGCGGACGGAAACACCCGAGGCCTCGGTATTGGCGTTGGCGGGGCGCTCCGCTCTGAGGATCACAGACCCGGCTGTTCCCTCAGTTGGACACTCTCCTCCCTTGAAGATTTTTTCTTTTTTTTTTTTGGCTCGAATTGACCTTGAACTTCGTGACCTATGGCAGGGGTGAGGGAGGCCTGGGGCACAGGTATGGGGCAGGGGCAGTGGCTGTTGACCCGACCCGCTGGCACAGAGTTACCCTGTCCTCTTCCCAGTGTGGCGACCACTGCGCATCCCGGTGAATGTCAGCCATGCGGGGTCTCCAGACCCAGACAGAGGGGATGGGCGAGCTCTCGGGGAACCCGGGGCGCCCCACACCTACCCTGCACTGACGGCTGCCCCCTTTCTCCCCATAGCCCGGCTCCGGTGCCCAGACCCAGGTCCTCCTCTGCTCCATGGACACCCCCAGCCCAGACCCGTTGCCTTCGCCTTTGCCCGGGGAGGAAGAGAAACCTCTGGCCTTACCACCTTCCGTCCCCCGGGACTGCCCGGGGGAGCGCCCCAGAGGGCCCGCCTCCTCCAATCAGAGGCTCAAGGCCTGCCCCCCTCGCAAGCGGGGCCGCCCCCCCAAGTCAGGGCAGGAGCCCCCGCTGGCGCCCGGGGTGACCGCCCCCGCGGCGGCGGCGGCGGCGGCGGGCGATGGCAGCGGCCTGCTGCTGATCGACGATCAGGGGGTGCCCTACACCGTCTCCGAGGGGGCCGTGGCCGACGGCCCCGTGGGCTCGGGCCCCAGGAAGACCCCGCACTTCTGCCCCGTGTGCCTGCGGGCCTTCCCCTACCTCTCGGACCTGGAGCGCCACAGCATCTCGCACTCGGAGCTGAAGCCGCACGAGTGCAAGGACTGCGGCAAGACCTTCAAGCGCTCCAGCCACCTGCGGCGCCACTGCAACATCCACACCGGCCTGCGGCCCTTCCGCTGCCAGCTGTGCCCCCGCCGCTTCCGCGAGGCGGGCGAGCTGGCGCACCACCACCGCGTGCACTCCGGGGAGCGGCCCTACCAGTGCCCCATCTGCCGCATGCGCTTCACAGAGGCCAACTCGCTCCGGCGCCATGCCAGGCGCAAGCACCCCGAGACCATGGGGCCCCCCGCGTCTCCCCCAGAACTGGGGCCTGAGCTATCGTGGGACCATGAGGGCATCCTGGCCACAGAAAGGGCCGAGGTGGAGGAAGAGGAAGAGGAGGAGGAGGAGGAGGAGGAGAAAGAGGGGCCGGAGGGAAAGGAGCTGGCCTGACCCGCACCCCCCTCCAGGGTTAGTGCTGGGGGTCCAGCCGGTGCTGCGCCTGGGCAGTGGGCCCGCACACCCGCCCGTCTGGTGCCATTCTTATTGCGGGAGGGGGTTGCGAGTGAGGACCTCAACTTCCGGTGGGCCCTGCCGCCTCCGGCTGCCTTCTCCCGGACTTGCAGGCCTGTGGACGCAGGGGCCACAGAAATAAACGGCTGCCCCTGGCTCCCCCTGTGTGTTCAGTGATGCTGCGAGGCCCGGCCTCCCTCTGCTTCTCTCTTTTCCTCTCAGAGGAAGGCAGAGGGGGAGAGACAGGGTCGGCTGCCTCCTTCACGGCTCTCCTGGGATCAACCCCGACACCCAGGCCTGTGACCTGGCCGGAAATGGAACCAGCGGCCTCTGGGTGTGGGGAGCGGAGCCACACCGGCCAGGGCTGCTCCTCCTCCCTCTTCAGATGCCCTCTGCCCTGCGCCGCCCAGGGGAGTGCGTGGGGCTTGGGAGGGCTCCGTGTCACGTGCCTTGAACTTGGTCATAGAGAAGGAGCTTGGCGGCAGCCCTTGTCGCCTCTCCCTCTGCCAGCAGACCCCAACGCACCCCTAAATATCCGCTCTCAGTAAAACATGGAACCTGTGCAGACCAGGCTGCAGGCCCTCCCTCCCCCCGTCCAGCCAGATCCCTGGAAACTTGGCAGCCACCACTTTGCCCATCTCTCTCTCTCTCTCTCTCTCTCTCTCTCTCTCTCTCTCTCTCGCTCAATATTTTATTGATATTTTATTTTTAAAAATATATTTTATTGAAAGTCAGAAACATCGATGAGAGAGAAACATCGACCAGCTGCCTCCTGCACCCCCCACCCCCACCGGGAATGTGCCTGCAACCAAGGTACATGGCCTTGACATGAATCGAACCCAGGACCCTTCAGTCCGTAGGCCAACTCACTATCCACTGAGCCACACCACCGGTTTCGGCTACTTTGCCCCATCTCTTTTCCCTGGCCGGGTTTGGAAGGGAAAACTGAGTTGATGGTAGTGGTTAGGACTGACAGGTTCGCTAGGTAAGGGGGTGTGGCCTGGAGGGGTGGGGACTGGGCAGGCCGGTGAGAACTGGGTGGGGCTTAGGAGCCGGCTATAGGAGCTGGGGTGGTGCTCAGGCTGTGGGCAGTGAGTGAGAGGATCTAGAGTTAGGGTTAGGGTTTAGCTGAGAGAGGGTTTTCAGGGGGAAACTAGGAGAGCAAGGTGTGTGTGTGTGGGGGGCAGTGGGTGTGACTGCTGTTCAGGCCAAGGGGACAGGGGGAACCTAAGAGGAGTGACTGAGGGAGTCCCCGAGAGAGGGGGGAGAGGTTTGCCACGCAGGAGACAAAAGCCAGAGAGTCCAGCGGATTAAAAGGGGGAGGTTTTAATCTGAGCTCCTGGGCAAAATTCGCTGGTCTTAGGGTGAGCCAGGGAAGTTCTCGCCAAAAGGGGGCGTCAGTACTTCTATACGGCTGTTTAGTGGTGAGAGGGCCGAGGGCAGGGAGGTGTGGAATTTTCTCCTCGGGCCAGGGGTCTGGGAAGGCACCAGTTCTCTCTGTCACCATCTACCTTGCAGAAGCATGCATGGGCTCTAGACTTCCCCCTCCTGCCTCGACTTACCTAACAAGGGAGACCTTAGTAGGATGGGCCAGTAGAACCGGCGTAGCTGCGGGGCAGGGCTGAGTCAGGGGCGAGGTTCGCAGAAATATGTAAGTGCGGCGAAGCTGTGGCCCTGACTTCGGCCTGCATCGGGACTACCTGCAGGGTGTTTCCTTTTATTCGTTAGTAGAATCATAGTTGACATACACTCAGTAGTGCCGGGTCCACAACAGCAGCGCGGTATTTCTATATACATTATGAAGTGCTCAGGATAAGTAGTTGCCACCTGGCACCATACAAAGCCATCCCGGTGGCACTGACTGTGTTCCCTGTTCTGTACCTGACCTCGCTGTGACTTATGTGTTTTACAACCGGAAGTCCCCGCGCCCGGGGTTTCTGGCTCAGAGCTTCTGGAGCAGGGGGCCTGAGCTTCCCATTTCTAACCGTTTCCCGGGTGATGCCGCCACTGCTGCTGCTGGTCTTGGGGCCAGCGCCTGCGAACCACTGGTTTAAAGGAATGCTTTAGGAAAGACGGGAAGCACAAAGATCGCATTGAAATTGCGAGAGAGATGGAGTTTATATGCTAGGGGCTGGTGGGCGGGGCTTAAGTAGGGGCGTGATTTGGCCTAATGAGCCATGAGGGCGGAGCTTAGGAGGAGGAGGTGGGCTTCAAAGAGCAGGGTCTTGGAGGTGGGGATGCACTGGAGGAAATTAGGGGGACCAAGGCAAGGAGGACCCATTTTGAGACGTCGGGGGACTTCTAATAATTAAGCCCTAAAAAAAAAAAAAAAAAAAAAAAAAAAAAAATAGTTCGGGGGCGGGGCTTAAGCGTGAGATTTGCGCGGTGGGCGTGGCTTAACCCAATGACCGGAGATGTGGGCGGGGCCCTAGGTAGCGGGCGCTCCCGGCGCAGGCGCACTGGCTCAGGTCGCTCACCGGAAGTGGGCTAGGCTTCCCCGGCCTGCGCCCCCGCGCTCCGCCCCCCAGGCCGGCGCGCAGGCGCACTTCCCTCTCCCGGCCGCCGCCGCTGCCGCCTCTTTTAGCTCCTCGACGCCGACGCCGGCGCCTCCGAGGCGAACGCGACTTCCGTTTCCGGGCGGACGGGCGGGCGGGCGGCGCGGGGCTGCCGGGGAGGGGGGGAGGAGGCGGCACTTCCGGTCAGGCCCTCGGGTCTCCCCAGAGCAGCGGCGCCTCCTCCGCCTCCTCGGCCTCCTCCCGGCGGAGACCCCCGGCGCCGGTGAGTGACGGGGCGCGTGGCCGGGAGGCCCGGGGACAGCGGGGGCGGGGGGCCCCGCCCAGGCCCGTTCTGGTCCTCAGAACGTCCCCATCAGTGCCGCCCGCGCGGGGCCCTCGCCGGGGGCCCCCCCAGAAGAGCACCCACCTATCTGCCTCATTGACGCTCCTACGTAGGACGGCGGCCAAAGCGCCCTCTTTCGTGCCGCTCCCCAAAAACTGCTTCTCCCAGGATTCCTTCTGCGTAGCCCCCCGGCACTGCCCCCGCCAGGACAGCCCCCCCAAATGCCACCAGCGTCGCCTTCCCCGCGCAGACCAGCTGCCCCTGAGCCTTTCTTCAGCAGACCCTATAGGTTGCCACCCAGGAGGGTTGCATTTGTGCTTCATAACGGAATGCCCCCCGTTACCTCCGCCCCCACCCGCAGCTCCCCAAACTCCTCACCACCCTCGCCCGGCGCCCCCTTGGCTGGTGTAAAAATACCCTCTGTTCTGATCGGCAGCCAAGAATGCTTTTTTTATCTTTTGCACCGCCCTCCCCAGTCTTTCCCCGGGAAAATACCCCTTTCAGCACCCCAGACCCTCTCTAATTGAACAGCTCCCTCTAGGGGTGTGCTCTCGCACCCTCAGCCTCTCCCTCTTCAGGTGGGCAGAGCCCGGCTCCCACCCATCCCTCTCCTGGGCCGGTCTGTGATGGGTCCTTGTCCCGCAGGGAGCGCCCCAAAGGGGAGGGGGTCGTCTTGAGCTGTCCCCTCTCAGCCAGCTCCTACTCCGTCCTCCTGGACCCCCTGGAGGGCGCCTCCAGTCTCCCCAGACATCCGTTCACTCCATCCTCCTCGAACGGATGTGCTGTTCTGGCTCCCATGCAGCTGCGCAGGAGGGGGCGCAGCCCTCCTCTCTGTCGCTTTTACTGTCCAGTTGAGACAGATCAAAAACAAGTAGCCAGCGTGATCGGTCGTCCAGCCTGCTCGCTGAGAGCCTGGTAGCTACTTGCGAGCGGCAGCCTGCATGAGCGGAGCTCACTTTGCCGGCAAAGCTTGGGGGGAGGCGGGGCGGGTTGTTGTAGGCAGAGGGAAGAGAAGCCGAAGTTCCGAGCTGGCGTGATGGTGGGGAGTGGGGGAGTAGCCGGAGGGGCCCCGGAGGTGGGAGTGAGGGGCGAGGATGTGTGATGTTAGAGGGCTGTGGAGGTGAGCGCGTTGTGATCCGTTATTCGGCCTTTGTCCGCTCTGCCAAGCCCAGAATGCATTTCGCTGGTCTGTTCCACCGCTGTTTAATAAGCACCTACTGCATGCACGCGGGGTATGTAGCAGAGAACAAACTAGACAGGACCCCTTGTCCTCATGGGGTGCCTGTGCTGGTTCATGGGGTAGCCCAGTGGTCGGCAAACTCATTCGTCCACAGAGCCAAATATCAACAGGACAACGATTGAAATTTCTTTTGAGAGCCAATTTTTTTTAAAGCTTACACTATATAGGTAGGTACATTATTATTAACTTAATTGGGGTACTCCTCAGCTGACCTTCGCTAAAAACTCAAGGGGCCAAAGAGCTCTTCCACAAAATACCACGTGCGGGTGCGCGTGTACAGTGTGATTGAAACTTCATGGCCCATGCGCAGAAGTCTCGGGTTTTGGCCTGGGCGAGTCTATTTTGAAGAAGTAGCGTTAGAACACTCAAAGGGTGGTTTGCTGACCACTGCTCTAAAGGACTTAGACATGTACTTGGTATGTAGAGAGCTCTCCTTCAGTGTCATGTGCTTCTAGATGTTACCATTATCGTTATTAACAGACTAGAGGCCCGATGCATGAAGATTCCTGCAGGAATGGGCCTTCCTTACCCTGGTTGCCCATAGCGCCTCCTCCTGGCCCAGAGCCGAGCCATCTTTCCACCTTCGGAAGCTGCGCACAAGCCCAAAGCAGCTGGGGTGGTGTGGAACATTGCCATGGAAACAACACAAGCATCCCGCCCTGCCCCCAGCCACTGGGCACCTGTATATGCAAATCAACATGCCATCTTTGTTGAGTTAATTTGCATACTCACTCCTGATTGGCTGGTGGGCGTCACGAATGTATGGTCAATTAGAATGTTACTCTTTTCTTAGGTAGACTAGTATGTTGTCCTAAGGCAGCTTGTGGCAGGGGAGTGGCCCACGGGTCTTGGCATCAACAAGACTTGGAATCCACACCTGGTTTCCCCTTTACTGGCTATCTGACTATGGAACACAACCGCCCCTTTCCTCAGTTTCCCCACTTGTAAAGTGGGACCTGAAATGGCATGGGACTGTGGTGATCTATCCAGGTGATGGTTCCTGTCCATCTGGTCAAACAATAAACATGAGCTGTGTGACTGTGACTCTGGTTGCCATGGAACTACTGCCGCTTGAGAACCTTCCCTCCTCATCCCTCTGCAGGAAACCCTCCCCT